CTAACTCAGGAGTCCACATTGTCTCCAGTGTTTTAGACTGGTTCGTCCCCTTACTCAACCATAGCCCAACATGGGCCAAGTCAGCATTATCAGGGATCTTCAGGGCCCTTGCTCCACAAACCAATAACTGTCCATCTATGCATTCATCATGCTAGATGAACAGTGCTGAAGGAACAAGTCCAAACCTAGCCTATCTCTTCATTATTGCATATCTCCTGCTTTACTCATCAAATGCATCCAGCTGATCACCATAAGTTGAGCATACTCACCAGTTTCTTTTACCTTTTTAAGTTAGAAGAGAAGTTCTTATACTTCCTCCTTCCTCTCATAAAGTAGACCTAGGTGGTCAACATGAGTTAAGCATACTCATCAGCTTTCCTTTGCCTGTATTTATCAGTAAAGTTTCATTTTTACTATTTGTCTTCTTTCAGATATAACTTTCCTCAGAATACTGGATGAAGCTTAATCTTTCTTAGGCTAAGATCCACACTCTATACTAAATCCTACTACTTACTACAAACATTCTTTTAGGGTAAATTTTCTCCTTTTTGAATTTTCAATTAATATCCAACTGGCTTACATTTTCCCTCTAAATTACAATGTGTCCCCATCAGCAATATACCTTAACATTAAATAAATACACATCCTAGTCATTTTTTACAATATATCATAACATTAAATCAACGACAAAAAACCCAAAACAGAAACAGAAATACTCATGAAGTTAAATAAATAAAAATCTTAACACATAAATCTTTCAAGGAATTAACAGTTTTAGCTTCATTCTCTACCATTTTGTCTTGGGCCATAAAGCACTTTCTCAACTGATCTTTCAAGAAGCCTTTTGGATTATCTCCTCCAAGTTAGAGAAAGAAACAATAACCATTTTAATTGTACAACTTCCTAAGCAAAACATTCACAAAACCAAACCACGTTTTTTTGAGTTGGAAATGATGAATCCCACTCTTTCTGACACCAACTGTTTAGAGAGCAGAAAATGGGACATGGGGGTACACAGTTGTGAGTATCTTTCTGATAGGGCCAGAGTGAGTGAGAACAGCACTTCCCCAGAGCAGAAAGCAGATAACGAACCCGCAGTGCAGCCCCATGATGCCTATAGAGCCACACAAGCAGCAACAAGTTCACTTATTCATTGTCGACTCACAGACTTTTCTCACAGTTGTGCTACCAAGAGTAAAGTTTATTAGGGAAATAGATTGGGGAATGGGAGAGGCAAAAAAAAATCTCACAATAAAAATCCAGGTTTAGTCCAGCAGTCCCAAGAGAGATCAACAGCAAAACACAATACCTTAATTAGTAAAAGTCCTGGTTTCAGCTCGGCAACACAAATTTAAGAAGATTCTGATTTCCCCAATCATCAAAAAGTGGCCACCAACCCAAAGGTTCCACAGAATTGTATGTACTTACAAGCCCTGGAGGGAAGGGGACATGCAGCACTTGTTGCAGATGAGCAAATGCAGCTTTCAGTATGGACTACATCTCGACATTAAAACAAGAGCCCTCATAATGGGACCAATGTTGTTGTTATATGGAGTTGAATCAACTATGACTCATAGTGACCCTATGAAGAATGACTCTGAACCTTGCCTTTTTCTGAGCCAATTTCACAGTCTCTGACACACCTGGCTCCATTGTCATAGTTACTGTGTCACTCCATCTCATGTAGGCTCTTTCTCTCATACACTGACCCTCCACCATTCTAAGCATGATGTCCTTCTTCAAGGCCTTGTCACTGACAACATGTCCAAAGTATGCAAGATGGAGTTTCAAAATTCTAGCTTCCAAGGAGCAACTTGATTTCATTCTCTCCAAGACAGACTTGCTTGTTCTTTTGACAGTTTGTGGTATGTTCAATACTTTTCTCAAGCAAAGGCATCAGTTCCTTCTGTTACCCCTATTCATTGTTCAGCTTCTGATGGATCAATTGAGAAGACTATAGCCTAGATTAGGCACACACCTTAGTCTTTAGACTGACATTGCTGCTCTTTAGGATTCTGGAGTGGTCCTTGACAGCAGATTTTCGCAGTGTAACTCATTTTTTTATTTCCTGACTGCAGGCACCAAGGGTATAGACTGTGGATTTGACCAAGATGAAACAATTAAAAACCTCAATCTTTTAACCTTCTATCATGACACTGCTTATTGGTCCAGTGGTGAGGATGTTGTTTTCTTGATGGTGAGATGCAATTTATATTGAAGGTTGCAGTCCTATATCTTCTGCAGCACTTCAAGTCCACTTTAGTTTCAGCAAGCAAAGTGGTGTCATCTGCATAACGCTGGTTGTTGATGAGTCTTCCTCCTATCCTGATGCCACATGCTTCTTCATGAATCCCAGCCTAATTAATTAATTAATTCATTCATTTTAAAACCTAATTCACCCCAGCCTTCTGAATCATTTGTTCAGCATATAGATTAAAAAGGTAGAAAGCATATATTCCTGATGCACTCCTTTCCTGATTTTGAACCATGCAGTGTTCCCTTCCTCTGTGCAGGCAACAAATTTTTTTATCTAGGTATAGGTTTCACATGAGCACAATCTAGTGTTTTGGGATTCCCTTTCTTCTCAAGGTTAGCCACAATTTGTTCTGATTCACACAGTCAAATGCCTTTGCATAGGTGATAAAACACAAATAGACATCCTTTTGGTACTCTCTGCTTTTAGTTAAGATCCTTCTGACAGCAGCCATAATTTAACTTTAGTGTCAATGCCTCTTCTAATCCAGCTTGAGTTTCTGGAAGTTTTCTGTCAATGTGCTATTCTACTTACTTTTGGATAATTTTTCATTAAGATTTTTGCTTGCATGTAATTATTAGTGATATTGTTTAATAACTTCCACATTCTGCTAGGTCACCTCTTTTGGGAATTGGAATAAATATGGATCTTTTCCAGTTTGTTGGTCTCTAGATATCTTGGCACAACCTGGAGAGTGCATCCAAGGCTGTATCTGTTTTTTGAGATACGTCAGCTGGTATTCTACCAATTCCTGGGGTCTTCTTTTTTGCCAATTCTTTCAGATCAGCTTGAACTTCTTCATTTACTATCATTGGTTCTTGATTATATGCTACTTTCTTAAATAGTTATATGCAAGCCTTTTCTTTCAGCATTTTTTTTGTACAGTGATTTGGTGTATTCCTTCCATTTTCTTTTGATGCTTCTGGGATCATTCAATATTTTAAACATAGCATCTTTCAGTATTACAACTTGAAGCTTCAGTTGTTCGTCAGCTCTTTCAGCTTGAGAAATGTAGAGTGAATTCTTTTCTTTTGATTTTTTACTCTAGTTGTTTGTACATTTTGTTATTATACTTTGCTTTGCCTTCACAAGCAGTCCTTTGAAATCTCCTGTTCATTTCTTTAATGTCGTTTCTTCCCTTTGCTTTGGCTTCCTAGCATTCTAATGCAATTCTAATACAGAGTCTCTTTTGACATCCACCTTGGTGTATTCTTCCTGTATTTGTAATGATGTTTTGCTTTCTTCATGGGTATCCTTAATATCATCCCACAGCTCATCTGGTCTTCACTCATTATTTGTCAATGACTCAAAATTATACTTGAGATGGTTTTTAAATTCAGTTGGGGTAGACTCAAGGTCCTATTTTATTTCAAACACTAAGCAAATAAAAAAACATTATTATAGAGAAAGTATTGAAATTGTCAACAATTTCACTTTATGTGGAGCTACAATCAACATCTGTGGCAGCAGCAGTTAAGAAATTAAGATATGTTCCAGAATAAGAGGTGCATTGCAAGGTGGACTGGGGGTAGGTGTGGGAAGGAGAGGGAGGAAAATGTGTAACAATGAATGAATGAAAACTTTTATGTAGACTTTTGTTAAAATCACACTTTAAAAAGTAAATAAAAGATTTTTTAAAAGAAGCGCTGTTTGGTTGTTTTTTTTTTTTTTTTTTTGTTTTTTTTTAAAAAGGAAAGTCTAGGATGCTAGGATGCCATTTTAAAACTAATGTATACCAGAGCCAAACCATAGTATTTTCAACAACTTCCTATACACTTGAAAGTTGGACAATGGATAAGGATGACAGAAGAATTGATGTCTTTGAGTCGTGGTGTTGGAGAAGAGTAAGGGATATATCACAGACAGCCAACCAAAAGTCTCTCTTGTACTAAATGTAACCAGCCTGCTCCTTGGTAGCAAGGATGGTGATACATAGTCTCACATGCTTTGGGCATGTTGTTAAGAGGAGCCCAGTCCTTGGAAAAGACATCATACTTGGAAAGGTGAAGGGTCAGAGAAAGTTGAGATCGACACAATGGCTCTAACAATAGGCTTGAGCATATCAGAGATTTGAGGATGGCACAGGATAAGGCAAGGTTCTGATCTTCTGTCCAAAGGGTCACTGTGAGTGGTGATCTTCTAATGGCGCCATAGGCCAGTAACAGGCCCTGGAGCTGGAACGCCAAAGCTATTCAGAAAATAAACGCAGGAAACAACATAGGCAACCACAGTAGGGAAGGATGGTTTGCCTGCATAGCAGGCATTTCAGGTGAGAAGAACAAGGTGCAGGCAAGTGGTGAGGGAGGTGTAGAGGCGGGGGCGCCACCTGTGCAAAGGCCGCGAAACAGACTTCCGGATGCACTGAGGCCTGGCCTCCCCGGGGCGGGTCCTGTGATCTGGCCTCTGTGCGCCTCGCAGGGCGTTCCCGGAGTGTCAGTGCGGCCGGCCCACGCTGAGCGACACCAGTTGGCTCTGCGCGGTGCTGAGCGATTCTCCTATTGGGCATGTCCCGCCGCGGGGGAACCAGGTCTTCAGGGGTGTCTGCCCCGTCCACCCCGAGGAATCACACAGGTGAGAGCCCTCCCGAGTCTCCGCTCCCCTGTCGCTGCCAGGCAGCCTGATTGAGCGAGGACAAACGCCAGACCTTCTCTTCTGGCTTATGGCCTCCCGGCTCCTCAGCTGGTCTGACGCTGGGCGGCGAGCTGCCAAACTCAGGAGACGGGCACCCACAAGTGCAGTGGTGCTCATGACGCCCCTAAGTCCCACTTTGGGATCTGGATGCCCCGAGATGAGGTTCCTGAGGTCCCCGTATGCCCGGCTCCACACCCGCTCGGTCTTGCGCCCTCCTTGGTGCCACCACTGGGGCTGGGGGAGTGCAGCTATGGGAAGAAATGAAAGTGAACTTCACCTTTGAAGGGTAGGAGGGCGTGGCTCCACTCCCTTTTGGTCTTGTGGGCCTCAGACCTTGGGGTCTGCCACTGCTTGGTCCCATGGAAGCTGTGAGAAGGAGCATTAACCCATCCCTACAGGGGGCACTCTAAAGTACTCAAGGGCAACGGTGTGCCTCTGTAGACTAAGGTGCGTCTGATACAGGCCATGGTCTTTGTAATCACTTGTTATGCATCAGAGAGTTGGACAATGACTAGGGAGGATAGAAGGAGAATTGATGCCTTTGAGCTGTGGTGCTGGAGAAGAGTATTGAATGTACCCTGGACTGCCAAGAAAACAAACAGATTCATCCAGCAGAGGGTTAAACTAGGCTGCTCCTTGGAGGCAAGGATTCTGGGACTTCGTCTGACATACTGGAGAGGGATATCATGCTTGGGAGGGTGGAGGGACAGCACAGGAGGGGAAGACCCTCTATGAGGTGGATTGATTCAGTGACTGGGGTAATCGGGATGGGTGTGCCAGAGGCAGTGCGATTGGCACAGGATAGAGCAGGGTTTAGAGCTGTTGTACATAGGGTCACTATGAGTCACAAACGACTCAACGGCACATAACAAACAACAACGGGGGACAATGAGTCAGGAATGGGTGGAGGGGTAGTGGAATCTAATCCAGAATTCACAAGGTTTAGAGGTTGGAAAGTGTTTAACTTAAAGAATGTTCCAGTTTTCATGTCTGTGCCCATTGCTAAGAAAAGCATCTGGAATCTCAGCGTTCAGTGCTTGATTTTGCTACAAAATTATGAGTCGCCTTTGACCCATAGCGACACTATGTACAGCAGCTCTGAACCCTGCCCTGTCCTGACACAGTCTCACTGACTCTGACATACCTATCCCCATCGCCCCAGTTACTGTATCAATCCAAACCATTCTGCATCTTCGTCTTCTGCACTGTCCCTCCTTTCTTCAGAGCATGATGTTCTTCTCCAAGCACTGGTCCCCCTGGCCATATATCCAAAGTATGTGAGATGGAGCTTCAAAATCCTAGCCTCCAAGGAGAAACTTGGTTTCACCCTCTCCAAGACAGAATTCTTTGTTTTCTTGGAGGTTCATGGTATGTTCAAGACTCTTCTCTAGCATCACAATTTAAAGGCATCAATTCTTCCATCATCCTTAGTCATTGTCCAGCTCTTTGATGCATAGCAAGTAATTGCGAAGACCATGGCTTGGATCAGGTGCACCTTAATCTCTAGACTGACATCATTGCTTCTCAGTACTCTGGAGAGGTCCCTGACAGCAGATTTTCCCAGTGCAATTTGTCTTTCGATTTCCTGACTGCTGGTGCCAGCGTGTTGATAGTGGAGCTGAGCAACCTCAATCTCTTAACAACCTCAATCTCTTCTCCATCTATCATGGTGCTGCCAATTGGCCTAGTGGTGAGAATCTTTGTCTTCGATCCATATTGAGACCAGTCCTTGACTTTCTGCAGCAATGGCATCTTGGGAAGACAAAGTAAAGTATTATAATGAAATGTTTAAGGAGATGGAGTCGGAAAATCAAAAGGGCCAAACTGTCAGTATTTCTTAAGTTGAAGGAGCTAAAGAACAAATTGAAGCCGTGTGTTGCTATACTTAAGGACATTATGGGCAGAATATTTAATGATTCAGGAAGCATTAAAAGAAGATGGAAGGCACAGTTTGATGGTTGGGAGGAGGGGTGGGTGGGTAAAGGAAATGGGAAAGATCTGGTGTGAAAAACAATGTATACAAATTCTTTAAGCAATCCAGTAAAAAATAAAAAATGTACTTAAAATTAATTAAAAAAACAAAATAAAACAACACAGTGAGATACCATCTCACCACAGTATCAGTGGCAAACAAAGTTTAACAGGACTGCAAATGATAAAGTTTGGAGAGGATGTAGAGAAATTGGAGCTTTGTTGGTGGGATTGTAAAATGGTATAACCATTTTGGAAGGCAGTTTGGTGTTTTCCTCAAAAAGTTGAATATAGAAATGCCGAAAAGAAAATGGGAGGGAGTATACAGAGTCTCTGTACAAAAAAAGAATTGGCTGACACAGAAGAATCTCAAGGAACAACAAATGATCAAGAGGCAATGTGTGAAAAACACTTTATATACGAACTTTATGAACTTTGTATATAAACTAGTATAAAATAAAATTTAAAAAGAGGCAATGGTGATGAAGGAGGAAGTTTAAACTGCTCTGAAGGGCTTGGCAAAAAATAAGGCCCAGGAATTGATGGAATACTAAATGAAATATTTCAACAAAATTATAAACTTTTTAAAAAGAGAACAAACCAACCAGGATTCTGATGTCAAAGGCCCTGTGAAAGCTCTCCTCCCATGGTCATCAGACTGAGGTGAAAGTCATGTGCACCCTAGTGCCTCCTGCATGGTCTTGAGGCTACAGTTTGGTTTTAGGCATTTTTGTGTTCCTTTCAGTAGGGAGGAAAACGGAAGACTTGGAGGGGTGGGCTCTCTAGGGTGGTCCTACTTCAATTCATGCTCAGTCCGGACCTGGAGGTATTTGGGAATTCTTTAAGCTCCATGGAGAAAAGATGGGACCTTCACTCTACAGAAATGTGTAGTGCCACAGCAGCAGTCCTGATTTAATGAAATGACACCTGCCCCATTACCTGCTGTGCATTTGAGAAAGGCAGTTTCTCACAGATAGAAAACTGAAGGTCAGAGGCCTTTACTGGGTCCCAGGCTATTTTATCTCCACTTTGGGCTTCTGTGGAGGAATGCTTAGCTCCTCCGCAAGCCCAGGCTGCTGGAGGAAGGACCAATGAACTTACCCAGCCTGGGTCCTGAGATGTGGGCTCCTCAACACCACCTGGGTTTGGCAGGGGGCTCAGAGCTATCTAAAATTAGCCTGGGGTTAGGAAGTGACCCATGGCCTTCAGACTCTGTTAGGGGATGCCTGCACGTAGTAGAACATAGTTGTGTTTGCATCCAAAAGGCCACTTGCAGTAGAATCTCAGTACAGAGGGCAAAGAATAAAAAGTAAGCACAGCACTGAGTTGATTTTGACTCAGTGATACAATAGAACGAAGTAGAACTGTCCTATAGGATTTCCAAGGCTGCAGTCTTTTTCAGAAGGGAGCTCTGGTGACCTAGTGGTAAGAATCTGCACTGAAGGTAGGCAGTTTGAGTCCTCCAGCTGCTCTCTGGGAGAAGGATGAGTGAGTTCATCTCATGTAATTAACTGTCTCTGAAAACTTGCTGGAGGGTCAGCTATGGGTCAGTTCTGACTTGATGGTAAACAACAAGAACAACAACAACAACAACACAACTGGAATCGCACCTCTGATCTTGGGTGATCGATCACCTTACCTTTCTACTTCAGTTTTTCATGCACAAAGTGGCAGTGCTACAGAGCTATAGACTCAAAGGAGCTCTGGTGATTCAGTGTGTTACATGATGTGCTTCTAACTGATAGGTTAGTGGTTTGAATCCAACAGCTCAGTTGCATCACAGGAGAAAAATGTGCAGTCTCCTTCCATAAAGATTTGCAACCTTGAAAACACAGCAGAGGGTCAGTGGGAGTCAAAATTGACTTGTGGCAGTAGGTTTTTGTTTGGTATACACAGCCGAGGTGGAGCTCAGAGAGGGCTTGCTGCACCCATGTGCATTGTCATGTTCTGCTGCAGGACACTGCTGCTGGCCACAACTCCACCATTTTTCTATACTGTGGTCCCCAGCTTTGAAAAAGGGCATGACTACCTCTTCAGTGGGTATGTGACATGGAGGTGTGCTGGGAAGTTCAGACCAGTTGGGATAGTATGTTACCCAATCAGTAAAATTGACCTGTTACTCTGTACTTCTCAGTAGAAGTGAAAATTCTGTTAAATAATTCTGTTTCTTGTTGTCCCTGCCCTACCTACATCTCCAGAACACAGTGCAGAGCAGAAATTTATAACTGAATGTTGTTAAACTGGGGGATGGATCCCAGCTAGTCAGGCCCCAGGTTCTAATCCCTGTCTCCTGTCAGGCCATCTGCCTGGTGCTGCCAAACCCTGCCCCTTTCCCAAGCCTGCCCTGGCCTGATTCCCGGGCAACTCCTACTCCCTCATATCAAAGAGAATGCTCAGGAATGCAGTGAGGTTGGAGGAGGAACACAGACTTCCAGGAGCTAAAGATGACCATCCTGGTAGCCCTAGAAAGGTCCTTGGAGGATAGGGCCCCAGGAACAGTGGTCATGAGCTGGAGGGGGAATCATGTGAGGCCTGATGAAGTCAGAAGGACACAGGAGTACATTCTTGGGCCTGCAGCCCTTTCTTCCAGGAGAGCAATGTCCATTTCTTTTGAAGCCCATTGAGAAGTCGGTGTTAATCAAAACAAGAGTCACAAACCCCTTTAGGATCAGCTTTGACCTCCTGCTGGGTATAGGGCTGAGCTGCTGATTCCTCTTACTTTCCACGCTCAGAGGTCTGAGCTGTATGTTTCTCCTAGACTCATAGCATCTGCTCTGGAGGAGAATACATAGTCCAGGGACTAAGACTTCCTGCCTTCAGAGGGGCCTGGAGACCACCTAGGCTGGACTGACTTGAATAGGTTGGAAGCTCATGTAAATGCTTCCTAGGGCAGCTGACCTAGAAGATCTGGGCCTAACTTTGGAGGCTGTATTCAAACTCAGGTCCCAGGTCCCATGCTTCTGTGTGCTCTTATTCCCTAGAGCTCTGAGAAATCCTGCAACAATGTTCCCCTTTCCCACTTGAAGAAATAGTAGAAAAGATTTCAGTGCTGGCAACTGTGAGGTTTACTGATTACCTGTTCCTGCACCAAATAAGGTCAGATGTGGGGTCATTTCCTCAGAGGGAAAGTTCCTCAAACTCTGTGTTTGCAGACTGAAAAAACTGACCTAGAGACAGACTGAAAAAAACATATAGGACAGAAAACTTACTGACCAAGGGGAAGCAGCTCTGCAAGGTCCTGGCAACAGCTAAGGATAATTTTTGTCTAAGGGTGTGGGAAGAAGTAACCCACTAT